CAGCATCGAGTCTTCTTGGGTATGACGCTACAAGCTTGGCACACCTGATTTTAGGGAGTTTCTCCTATTCTTCTCTGCAGATCCTCTCAAGCTCTGTCAGGTTGGATGGGGAGCGTTGCTGCACAGCTATTTTCAGGTCTCTCCAGAGATGTTCGATCGGGTTCAAGTCCGGGCTCTGGCTGGGCCACTCAAGGACATTCAGAGACATTCAGAGACCATTCAGAGACCTGCATTGTCTTGGCTGTGTGCTTAGGGTCGTTGTCCTGTTGGAAGGTGAACCTTCACCCCAGTCTGAGGTCCTGAGCGCTCTGGAGCAGGTTTTCATCAAGGAACTCTCTGTACTTTGCTCCGTTCATCTTTGCCTCGATCCTGACTAATCTCCCAGTCCCTGCCGCTGAAAAACATCCCCCACAGCATGATGCTGCCACCACCATAATTCATCGTAGGGATGGTGCCAGGTTTCCTCCAGACGTGATGCTTGGCATTCAGGCCAAAGAGTTCAATCTTGGTTTCATCAGACCAGAGAATCTTGTTTCTCATGGTCTGAGAGTACTTTAGGTGCCATTTAGCAAACTCCAAGCGGGCTGTCATGTGCTTTTTACTGAGGAGTGGCTTCTGTCTGGCCACTCTACCATACAGGCCTGATTGGTGAAGTGCTGCAGAGATGGTTGTCCTTCTGGAAGGTTCTCCCATCTCCACAGAGGAACTCTGGAGCTACAGTTGAAGTCGGAAGTTTACATACACTTAGGTTGGAGTCATTAAAACTCGTTTTTCAACCACTCCACAAATATCTTGTTAACAAACTATAGTTTTGGCAAGTCGGTTAGGACATCTACTTTGTGCATGACACAAGCCATTTTTCCAACAATTGTTTACAAACAGATTATTTCACTTATAATTCACTGTATCACCAGTGGGTCAGAAGTTTACATACACTAAGTTGACTGTGCATTTAAATAGCTCAGAAAATTCCAGAAAATAATGTCATGGCTTTAGAAGCTTCTGATAGGCTAATTGACATAATTTGAGTCAATTGGAGGTGTACCTGTGGATGTATTCAAGGTATACCTTCAAACTCAGTGCCTCTTTGCTTGACATCATGGGAAAATCAAAAGAAATCAGCCAAGACCTCAGAACAAAAATTGTAGACCTCCACAAGTCTGGTTCATCCTTGGGAGCAATTTCCAAACGCCTGAAGGTACCACGTTCATCTGTACAAACAATAGTATGCAAGTATAAACACCATGGGACCACGCAGCCGTCATACCGCTCAGGAAGGACACACGTTCTGTCTCCTAGAGATTAATGTACTTTGGTGCGAAAAGTGCAAACCAATCCCAGAACAACAGCAAAGGACCTTGTGAAGATGCTGGAGGAAACAGGTACAAAAGTATCTATATCCACAGTAAAACAAGTCCTATATCGACATAACCTGAAAGAACGCTCAGCAAGGAAGAAGCCACTGCTCCAAAACCACCATAAAAAAAGCCAGACTACGGTTTGCAACTGCACATGGGGACAAAGATCATACTTTTTGGAGAAATGTCCTCTGGTCTGATGAAACAAAAATAGAACTGTTTGGCCATAATCACCATCGTTATGTTTGGAGGAAAAAGGGGGTTGTCAGAATGCGACGGTGCAATGCGGTAGGCGAAGTCAAACGCAGGACACAGAGCTTACTGGAAACGTACTTTACTTGAAAGTAACCAGAAAAGAAAAAAATCTCCATACAAGGAGGAAAAACAACCCGCACACGAACACTGCCGATGACGAATACAATAACACACAATGAACGACAAGAGGGTTAAATAGGGAATACAATACAACGTAATGTGAAACAGGTGTACACAATCAGGACAAAACAAGTCAAACACCGAAACATAGATCGGTGGCAGCTAGTACTCCGGGGACGACGAACGCCGAAGCCTGCTCGAGCAAGGAGGAGGAGCAGCCTCGGCTGATTCCGTGACAGGGGTGCTTGCAAGTCGAAGAACACCATCCCAACCGTGAAGCACGGGGGTGGCAACATCATGCTTTTGGGGTGCTTTGCTGCAGGAGGGACTAGTACACTTCACAAAATAGATGGCATCATGAGGAAGGAAAATTATGTGGATATATTGAAGCAACATCTCAAGACATCAGTCAGGAGGTTAAAGCTTGGTCGCAAATGGGTCTTCCAAATGGACAATGACCCCAAGCATACTTCCAAAGTTGTGGCAAAATGGCTTAAGGACAACAAAGTCAAGGTATTGGAGTGGCCATTACAAAGCTCTGACCTCAATCCTATAGAAAATGTGTGGGCAGAACTGAAAAAGCATGTGCGAGCAAGGAGGCCTACAAACCTGACTCAGTTACACCAGCTCTGTCAGGAGGAATGGGCCAAAATTCACCCAACTTATTGTGGGAAGCTTGTGGAAGGCTACCCGAAACATTTGACCCAAGTTAAACAATTTAAAGGCAATGCTACCAAATACTAATTGAGTGTATGTAAACTTCTGACCCACTGGGAATGTGATGAAAGAAATAAAAGCTGAAATAAATCACTCTCTACTATTATTCAGACATTTCACATTCTTAAAATAAAGTGGTGATCCTAACTGACCTAAGACAAGGAATTTTTACTAGGATTAAATGTCAGAAATTGTGAAAAACTGAGTTTAAATGTATTTGGCTAAGGTGTATGTAAACTTCCGACTTCAACTGTATGTCAGAGTGACCCTCGGGTTCTTGGTCACCTCCCTGACCAAGGCCCTTCTCCCCCGATTGCTCAGTTTGGCTGAGCGGCCAGCTCTAGGAAGAGTCTTGGTGGTTCCAAACTTCTTCCATTTCAGAATGATGGAGGCCACTGTGTTCAATGCTGCAGAAATGTTTTGGTACCCTTCCCAAGATCTGTGCTTTGACACAATCCTGTCTCGGAGCTCTACGGACAATTCCTTTGACCTCATGGCTTGGTTTTTGCTCTGACATGCACTGTCAACTGTGGGACCTTATATAGACAGATGTGTGCCTTTCCAAATTATGTCACACATAAATGGAAAGAAAACAACACATCAGTTGTGTAGTGCATTTTCTGCTTCAGAGAGTAATCTTAATGAGAGCTCCATACAGGCATCAGCAAGATGTTATATTTAATAGAAATGCTCCCTACATGGAAGGCAACCGTGCAGTATTAACTCTCTGAGGTATAATTAAGCAATAAGGCCTGAGGGGGTGTGGTATATGGCCAATATACCACGGCTAATGGCTGTTCTTAAGCACGACGCAACGCGGAGTGCCTGGACACAGCCCTTAGCCGTGGTATATTGGCCATATATCACAAACTCCCGAGGTGCCTTATTGCTATTATAAACTGTTTACCAATGTAATTACAGCAGTAAAAATATGTGTTTTGTCATACCCGTGGTATACGGTCTAATATACCACGGTTGTCAGCTAATCAGCATTCAGGGCTCGAACGACCCAGTTTATAATAAGAATTTGTTGAGCACTTTTATCATACGCCTACCCACACAAGTTGTTAAGACTAAAATGCTATGTTGTGCATATCAATATGGCACATCCATAAGGCAATGTCTTTGTTAGGATAAATATTTATTTGCCCCATGGAGTGTATAATATGCCTATTGTTATAATGTTATTGCAAACGAGCAACACAAAAGTACTGGAATATGAAATATGAAAATCTAAAATTATTAATATCTATTAATAGGCCACTAAATATCACCATCATCATCAAGAACATTCCCCTGAAATAGCCAGACATTTTAGCTTATGTATAAGCTACCTGAAGCCCATTTGACCATATTAACATATTTGACATTGCTACTTGAGCAAGGCAGGGTTCTGTGTGTGGAGACAATCAGGCTTACTAGGAGCATCAATATCCATTCATCCCAGTGCGGATAAATTGAATGTAGCCACCGGTACCATTAAATTATGTCTAACTGCTGTCAATAAAGAGAGCTGTCAAGGAAAGCACCACGTGATCTGAGAGGTCTCGGCTGTTAAATCGCAGCGCTGTCGCTATATGCAATTGAGTTATTCCCTCTCCAATAGAATGAATGGATTCTAAATAGTATCCAATCAGATGAGAGCTCCTCAGGCATATAAAGACATAGCAAAGCTGATTAATTCTGGACACCAGTATTAGCTTTGGTGTGTGTTGCAAGAAAGGATTTTTGTGTCTTTCCCAAAGAAAAACGTCCTACGGTAAGATATGTTTTTTACGGTGTTTACATGCATAAATTCATAAGTATGTCATCATATTTGCAGAATTGCTATGTCGAATGTGCTTTGTAGTTAATACATGTATTGGTTAAATAGGCTATATGATGACAATGGTAAAACGTTTGGAATGTAGGTTGAACAAAGACTTTGGTATTTTAGACAGCATCTCGGTAAAGCGCATCTACCGTAGAGAAATGGGGAGACGTCAGTGATTTGGTTTCACATCAAAACGATTAAATCGAACTGACTTGTAAAATATTTTATCCTGGTTAAAATCGCCTCCAACTAGTGTAGAGAAGGGTTGTATTTTCCGTTTGCCATAGCAGTTTACATAGAAGAGACCGCAAGGTCGTGGTCTATCTGCAAGGTCTTATCTGGTGCTGTACATTACGCATTCGGTCGCTTCAAACAAAGGTGCACAGTATGACCTCACACTGTAACCTAGATATTTGGATTAACATGCATTTTAATTCATGCATTCCCTTTATGTTGGAGATTTGACATTAAAGATCAAATTAATTGCTACATTTGGGCACCGATTGTATGTTGCGTGTATTCCATCTCAGATTATGAGGAAAGGGCAAGCAAATGGCAGGAATTTGTTTGCTACCTCTCAAAGCCGGGTGTCGAAATAGCCTACCACTGCGTCACAGTAGCCTATAAAGAAAGTCTTTGTCGACCTTTTTCCTATTAGAGTTATTTCATTTGTCGGGAATAGGCTCTTGGCCACTGACATCACATAGTTTCATCCTTGTGCACAGGTGAACGCAATCATGCCTTTCGGTAATACCCACAACAAACTGAAGATGAACTACTCCGCGGAGCAGGAGTACCCCGACCTCAGCCAGCATAACAACCACATGGCCAAGGTGCTCACTCCAGAGATGTACGCCAACCTGCGGGACAAAGAAACTCCAAGTGGATTTACCGTGGATGATGTCATTCAAACTGGGGTTGATAACCCAGGTAAATAGTCATAGTTTGCCGACTTAGGTCCCAAGTCGACTGTTATGCTGCTTCGAGTGAAGTGGGTCGAGAGGGTAGAGGGCTTTAGTTATAGCCCAACCCACTCATCCGGTGCTTGGATTTTGCAATGTCAGTCACGTACCGGGTGAAAAACCACCTCTGTTGAAACGGTGACCTTGTTACCAAGGGCCTGTGCCGTGTCCACTAATGCAATGTTCAGTATAAAACAAGGAATGCATTATTTGTGGCCCTGTCGAGCTCATTGTTCCAGTTAGGTATCAATGCATTAGGACTGACATGGGATCCATGGTCATAGCCTATTTATTGTTCCATTTGTCACAGCAGCATCACCAACCACCTTTGTTGAGCAAGGTCAAGTCCACCATTTGTCTACATAGAACCATTGCTGAGGAAGTGGCATTACAGGCTAAATTGAGGCCTTGTATTTTATTCCCCTCTAGTCCTCAAGGTTGTTGGGTCACATGTCCATTTAACACCTGAATTACTGTGACTTTGCATTGTAATGTAGGCCTTTAATTTGATCAACTCTATTGTGAGGCCCTACTACAACATCCAGTGTAAGCGTCAACCAGCTGAAGATGTGTACCGGTATGCAAACTAGACCTGGGTTTAAATACTATTTCAAATACATTTTGAGGAGTAGCGTTTTCTGATTTTGTAAAAAAATACTAGTAGTTGGATATTGGAATGTATTTGGAAATGCACATGGACGGTATTGGCATGCATTAAAAAAAAATCTATAATGTTTTTTCAAAAACAAATATTTAAATACTCCCATGCATCTTAACCCAGGTCCTACACTAGTAGTATTTTAAATAAATGCATTTGAAAATACACAAGTATTTAAATGACAAATAATTAAATACAAATGCTTTTGAACCCAAGTCTGATGCAAACCTCAGTCACCTCAACCTAATGTTTTTCTTAACCACTTGACATGTACAGCATTATGAATATCAACACAAATGTGTATTAATGCCCAATGGCTTCACCGTAGATGGTGTTATTCTGACAGGAGTTTGCATCTAGAGGGTGGCTAAAGCTTTTATTGGAACTAAGACCAATGTGACCGCTGGCACAACTGACCACCATTTTGTATAAAATTCCAAAACCGATTCCTGTCAAAACCAATGGACTGCATTTTGTCAGTGAAATCGTCACTTGGAGGGCATCAACTGTTGGCGCCATTTTATTCCTAAAGGCCCAGTTTCACCCTGTCCCTATTTTATTCCAGGCCACCCCTTCATCATGACAGTGGGCTGTGTGGCCGGAGACGAGGAGACGTACGAGGTGTTCAAGGAGCTGCTGGACCCCATCATCGAAGACCGCCACGGCGGATACAAGCCCTCAGACAAACACAAGACCGACCTGAACCCAGATAACCTTGTGGTAAGGACACACATGCCGAATCGCCTCGCATGCACACAACCTGATTCACCACATACACACACCCAAGGTTGGCATACATGAGTCAGTGTCGCAAACTATTCAGGAAACCAATTTGAAATGTAATTCATCAATAAAAATCCATATTGGTCATAATGGCCACACAACCCATTGTTTTCAAACCTCCATGTAGCCCATCCCTGGTTTACAGTCGCTCAAATGTCCATACCTGTTAGCTTTCATGCTAATTGCTAACGCAGTGGTTATCGTTGTTTTGGCAGGGTGGGGATGACCTGGACCCCAACTACGTCCTGAGCTCCAGAGTGCGAACTGGCAGGAGTGTCCGTGGGTTCTGCCTCCCCCCACACTGCAGCCGTGGGGAGCGACGCGCCATCGAGAACATGGCCATCGAAAGTGCGTAACCGAGCCCTCTATTCTCCAATGCCTTGAGTCCCGCTGCATGCCCTTTGTGATGCTGCCCCCTGACTGCACTGAGTGGAACTTTGGCTTAATCATACTATTGAAATGATGCCACACTGCAATTGGCTTGCTGCTCTTGACTTGCATCGGTTAAGACTTACTTATTCTAGATACGTTTTGTATAATGGCAGTGGTGGAAAAAGTACCCAATTGTCATACTTGAGTAAAAGTAAAGATACCTTCATAGAAAATGATTCAAGTAGAAGTGAAAGTCACCCAGTAAAATACTACTTGAGTAAAAGTATTTGGTTTTAAATGTACTTAAGTATCAAAAGTAAATGTAATTGCTAAAATATACTTAAGTATGAAAAGTAACATAAATAATTTCAAATTCCTTATATTAAGCAAATCAGTTGGCACAATTTTCTTGTTTGTATTTATTTACAGATAGCCAGGGGCACACTCCAATACTCAGACGTAATTTACAAACTAAGGATTTGTGTTTAGTGAGTCTGCCAGATCAGAGGCGGTAGAGAATGTAGTAAAGTAAAAGTTGTCAAATATAAATAGTAAAGTACAGATACCCCAAAAAACTACTTAAGTAGTACTTTAAACCACTGTATAATGGAATCCTTACCTAAAATTGGCACTTTGAAAAATATAACTGCTTGATTGTTGATCTAATCCTTACAAATATGCAACTTGCTTTATAGTTGGTGAAAAAGGATGACAACTCCCGTAGGCCTACTTGTTTTACTGACATTCTCATGTTTTTGTTCGCAGGTCTAGCCTCACTGGATGGAGACCTCAATGGCCAGTATTACGCCCTGAAGAACATGACAGACGATGAACAGCAACAGCTGATTGACGACCACTTCCTGTTCGACAAACCCGTGTCCCCCCTGCTGCTGGCGTCCGGGATGGGCCGTGACTGGCCCGACGGCAGGGGCATCTGGTGAGTTCCCCAGCCCAAGGGGCACCACGGCAGAGTGAGTTCTCCATGTAGACTTGAACAGTCCAAAATGGCTTCCTTTCATGATGGCAGATGAGTAAAGGGATTTAGATTCTGGCATTCTCCTGCCATGCAGCTTTTCCAGTGAATTCCTCCCATGGGCTGTCGGTGTTCATGAAGGAAGGAGCGAAAGTGCAGTAAGGAATATGTGCCAATAAAATGGACGTTAATTAGTTGACCGCTTCAATGGTCAAATTTCACAGGAGGCCCCATTTTACAATTCTTCAATCCACATTCCATACTCTAAAACAGGGCTCTCCAACCCTGTTCCTGGAGAGCTACCCTTCTGCAGGTTTCCGGTCCAACCCCAATTATGACTTATCTGACTCCGCTTACCAACCAGCTAATTTTTTGAATCAGGTGTGCTAGACTAGGGTTGGCGTGAACCTACAGGATGTTAGCTCTCCAGGAACAGGGTTGGAGAGCCCTGCTCTAAAATAGTGATATGCAGTTATGTGTTCTGATGTTGTGGGTCAATTAAAGGAGGCTCTGGGGTAAAGTTACCCTAGGTACAGATCTAGGATAAGCTACCCTCCCTAAATCCTAACCTTAACCATTAGTGGCGGAACATTTAAAAACTGACCCAAGATCAGGGTCTATGGATAACTTCACCCTACACTGGAGTACCAGCTGGAGGGTGCCTTCAGTGAGAATAAACCTGATCGTTATGTACAATGGTGTCTCCTTCCAACCGATGGTGAACTAATATGTTGATTTTGTTGACAGGCACAATGACGGCAAGACCTTCCTGGTCTGGGTGAATGAGGAGGATCATCTGCGAGTCATCTCTATGCAGAAGGGTGGCAACATGAAGGAGGTGTTCCACCGCTTCTGCACTGGCCTCACAAAGGTGTGTGTGTGATGTGCACTCAGGAGTCAAGGATGTCAAATGTGTAAAGTCCAGTCTAAGGCACAATTCTACAATGTAACGTTCAAAAGAAATTGCAAAGCAAACAACTGCTTTAGGGTTAGTTACATTTGAATGCAGTCAATTTGGGAGTCTACTTAAAATTCAATGCGAAATGGCACTTTAAAAACTGTTGCAAAAAAGGGGGTAACCTTTAAACTTAAACTAGAATAGTCCCAACACTGCAGTTGCTTTCTCAACACAACTTATAACCTTCAGCCCCTTACCTCAGTTTCCTCTGACCTCTACAGATTGAGACACTGTTCAAGGACAAGGGCCATGAGTTCATGTGGAACGAGCACCTGGGCTACGTGCTCACCTGCCCCTCCAACCTGGGCACAGGGCTGCGCGCCGGCGTGCACGTCAAGCTGCCCAACATGAGCAAGCACGAGAAATTCGGCGAGGTCCTCAAGAGGTTGAGGCTGCAGAAGCGTGGCACAGGTATGTACATTTTCCTGTTAGGAAATGTAGATGGGACATTCTGTCTAGCAGTTATTGGGATTAAGCGAACATCCAGCAGATCTGATATATTGCCCTGGAATAGTCTCTCCAAATTGTATTTATTAACCAATGTTTGTTACTGTAGGTTGGTAAAACATTGTGCATTCAAGATGTACCATTTCTGAAAAGACTGCACACATACAAAAATATTGATTAATAAAAATCAGACTCGTCCTGAAACTGTGCACGTATCAACAAGCATTAAAACTCTGCCTGAAACGCTCATTCCCTTTTTTGGGTGACAATAACGCCCTTATTGGAATTAGGCCAAGGCAGTTTCTAAAGGCAATGGCAAACTTAATCAAATGTCTCTCTGGAGGTGTGACATTTGCTCTGACAGTTTCTGAAAGAAACTATTGTAAATTGTTGTGGACCTGTAAACATGGTTTGTTTTACTTTTTTCCAAACCTAAATATGATGCACTGCCCGCTAATTCTGAAACATTGTCTATGTCGAATTTAAAACTACAGTAGGCCTACTTAGTGGTAGTTACACACTCCCTTTCGGATGCATAGAGCAAAACACTTCAAATAGTTTATCTAATAGGCCCAATTAAATTAGGGATGCGCATGGTAATTTGTTGTAGGCTAAAGCTTATTCTGCAATGGTTATGAAAATGTTATGTTTATAAGTTAAATATTGTTTATGTGAAACATTTCAAATTACAGTAGGCTATTCAGATGTACAGTACCCTAAATGTAAATCGAAAAGGTGAACCGTCTGTTCTACCCTTAAACTGCGCTCGATTGGATTGCATGGAGCAAAATACTTAAACGACTGTAAAGTGGGTCCAATTAAATGATAGGATGTTGTAGACATATTTGGCTACTTCATGAGTATGAAACCATCAGTCAGAAAAGGTGAATTTATTCTGGATCATGGAATGAAATAGGAAATGTATGCCTATTTCTTACTTTTAGAATGCAAAGATGCCAAAAATTGCTCTTCTCACAAATGGCAAATGATTCCATCTTGTTATATTAAGGCTACCTGTTTTTGTCTTTTTTTATGAAAAAGCATGTCAAATGGTAGGCAACTTGCCTGCTTGCAATGCAATACTTCAACCACTAGAGACTGTGCATATATATGCATGGTCTTATTGAGTGGGTTTTTGTCGGGGGGCCGGAACAGAATTACAAATTTGTAGACTGCAAATTGACTGCAAGCCCTAACAGAATATTTGACGAAATCATTTCAAACCTTGCTTACATTTTGTACACGATCACGTCTCTATGCGTGGGAATACTTGAACAGATTTACAAAATTAAAATCAATTGGAGCTGATTTTCATGGTGTTTTTGTCCAACAATGAATTTTAAGTGTCTTTTCTCAGAACTTGGGGGTGCCAAATAAAACCACCCACGGACTGCCAGTTGGGGAACCCTGGTGTATAGTTTGCGGGAAGCTAAGCACATTCTCACATCAAATTCTGTTTTTATAAATTCCAACTTTTGCGTGAACTGGCGCATTTTGTACACATGCAACATTTATAAAGAGGCCCCAGGACTTTGATTACAGTAGCTGAAATGTGTTAAATTAGGGCTGCCTGGACCTAAAACCTGCATACCCACTGGCTCTCCAGGAGCAGGATTGGCCTGTCACCCTAGTGGCGGAGAAGCCAACCTTATCCACCACCATTTTAGCTCAGCTTTTCTTTTGTACTAAACATGTACGCTCTGTGTCTCTCCCACTCCCCCCTCAGGTGGTGTAGACACCGCAGCAGTAGGCGGCGTCTTCGACATCTCCAACGCCGACCGTCTGGGCTTCTCCGAGGTGGAGCTGGTGCAGATGGTTGTCGACGGCGTCAAGACCCTCGTCGAGATGGAAAAGCGTCTGGAGGGCGGCCAGTCCTTCGACGACCTGATGCCTGACCAGAAGTGAACACGCTCCCTCAAACCTTCTGACCTCTTATCTCTCACCCCCCCTTCACCAATATCGCCCCCTTGTCTCCAAAAACAATCTTAACTACATCAAGGAAATGCACTCCGCCTGACATAGTGGCACAAAAGTTAGACGAGTCTTCCATCTGTGTGATGGATTTTGTATCTCAAATGCAGTCTTTTTGCAGAATGTTTGATGGATATGAACACCTGAAATAAAAGTATCTTTGGCCCATGGAATGTTTGTCTTTACTTTTTTGAGCAAGAGATTTGTTTGGAGATTAGTCATTTCAAATACTTTTTGTGCTTAATTGAGCTTGCCTAGCTCAATTGACCAAGGGGGAATTCTGACATAATTCCCTTCATGCACTTCTCTCAAACTATTCTGACCTTTAACTTAAGCATGAGAATAGCATGCTATTCGTAGGGGTTGGAGACCAAATAAATGGTGTGGAGGGGTCTATAGATGCGCTGTATTCTGAGTTAATTCCCTCAATTGTACCACCTTTATTCAAAGTTACATTGCACATAAGGTCATGCAACCTGTCAGTTCCAAGAGGAACATCTACCCTTTTCCGATTAGCAATAACACCATTTACAAATTGACGAGAGCTAGATCAATGACTAAGCCATTTGGATAAGCTTGTAAATACTATGGTTTCAGATCTATTTTATCTTAACACGGGAGACGTGAAACCAGTCATCTGGCAACAAACTGAAGCATATCACCTTTGCTACAAGTTTATGAAATGCTGAAGAAAAATAAACTTGGGTCTCCAAATTTCATTCCAAGCTATAGGCTTCTGTAGCCATGTGCAAATGACAGTATAGCACCAAACTTAGTTTATTTGTTTTAATTATATCCCCAGACTCAATGTTTAGTTAAATATTAGCCATTATCGGTAGCCACCGTCAGTTAAACCTATATTTAACTCACTGACTTCAGTGTTAGTTTCCATACCATTTCTTTCCTCATGTGGTTGTTCCTGTTAGGCTAATGTATGAAGTTGTGCAATAATTTGGGACGTGTAGCTGATTTGAATCATTATGGAACGCAGACCATAAGTAGCAGTTTAAACCTGGAGCCTGGTTCACGATGACTGGACTGTTGTCATAACAGTTACATCATTGAGGATTATTAGGGTAGAGTTATACACTTCTCACCTTCCAATATTTCATGGCTTGAACAATTGAATATGGCAACTTCCAGGATGAATCAAACCACTATTGTGCGTAAAGGCTCTCCAAATCCCAAATATACACAATCAGTATTTTTAATCTACCAATTGGTGGTGAAAAGACATATGCATGTTTTTACATTAATTAATCTAATATTCTGAACCGTTCTCTCCATATATTCTAGTCGAGAAAATTAGAATTAAAAGGTACACCAAATTTAAAGGGATGGCTTTCGATACTTATTGAAAATCTGTTGGCCAGAAAGTGGGAGGGTTTTCAGCGGTTGAATTAAATGTCTTCAGCGCGTGTAAGAAAACCACACCTGTTACGCACCTGCGTAAGGTAAGTCTGAATACCAACTACTGAAACGTGCGCCTTTCCTAGGCACTTCTGAATCGGGCCCCAATAGAATAGTCATAACTGTAAATCCCGCCCATTTTGGCACTCCATGCAGTCTAGATCAACCGCTCAAAGTATTTGAACCCAGGTCTTGATTCAATAGGCTTATGCAGTAGAGTACAATTTAGTTGTAATAATTTTATAGGATTAGTTTATTTTCTCATTCTTAAGCCTTGTTAAGAATTTGTTAATACTGGAATGCTCGTCCTTGACAAGATATTGATGACATATCTAGCTACAACATTTTGGTATCCACTGGACCTTATGATCTGAGAATCTATTCTTATTTATAGCCAAACTGTTTAACATAATCAACTAACCGGCATCAGTCTGGACCAGGATTATTGTTAGTATGTGTATTACTGCTGGGCTGGAATAACAGCCTGTGTACTCCAGCTCTTCAGGACCAGTTGGAGACCACTGTCATACAGTGGTCCCGTTTAGGGGGAGCCTACCTGTGGGGGAAGTCATGAAATTAAATTCAACAGAACCCATGGTAACACTTTACTTATCCACTCAGGCCAACATTGCTAGCCGTAGTCAAAGTATTAAGACACCTGTTGAATACAAAACAGTTCATTAACATAACAGATAGGCGTGATAGTGTGAGCCATGGCTGTGATCACAATTCACTCAATGACCCAGAATCTTACTTATTCCAAATGGGCCCTGGTCAAAAGTAATGCACTACAAAGGGGATAGGGTGCCATTTAGGACACACCTCCAGAGTACTCCACTACAGCCATGCTAAAACACAGACAACTGATGGGGCCAGAAACCTACAATCCAGAGTTATGGAGCTGACCTTGAATACAGTGATCTAAATAATTAGAGTGACATAGATCTACAGTACATCTGAAGATTGAGACATGATTATCCAGATTACATTTTTACATTTTAATCATTTAGCAGATGCTCTTATCCAGAGCGACTTACAGTTAGTGAGTGCATACATTTATTTTCTCCATACTGGCCCCCTGTGGGAAACAAACTCACAACCCTGGTGTTGCAAGCGCCATGCTCTACCAACTGAGCTACACGGGGCCCAGATAGGCAGTGGTGTAGGCCTCAACTAGGCCTACACCACTGCTGGTAGCTTACCCTCTAAGCCGAGGCAGTTTTACACACATGAACACCTGCAGAACACGTAGCCTACATCAATATAATACACAAGTTGAATTAAAACGTATTTACACCCTAGTTCATGAGTTGAATGCTTGTAGTCTTCACAGATTGTGTGACAAAACACTACCTTTATTTCCTTACATTCATTACATTTATGACAGTGTTATTTGTAATTATTAACCATTTAACAATTGAATTAGAACCCTGTACGATTCCTGGATCTTGGAGATCTCGGAAAATGCATTGTAAGTGTAACTATGCCTACGTAACATTTCATTATGTTTCGCTGTGATAACAGTTCTCATGGGCACACAAATCCCAAATAATGTAGGCCTATGCCATTGCAAAATCAAATGCTTCTAACCGAAATAGTCAATTATAGGGCTACTGTCATTCATGTTGGATGGATTGGGTGTGTATTGGTGTCTAGCTGTAGGCTAGTGATATTGGTGACCATCATCAACTGATCCAGGAAAGAAAACAAATATTGATAGAAAATTATAAAGCTAAATAAATTGTCTACTTCTGGCCACAGACGGCTCAGAACCCTCGCACACCTGAAAAACAAAGCAATGAGCGCTCTAAACTGCTGACTGACAAAAGCAAACAATGATAAATGAAATGCATTGGAATAAAGGCTATTTATCAAGGGTGCACGGCAAACAAATGACGAAAATCTACGCGTTTAAAGGAGCTCAGCTCAGGCCAAATTCAGCACTACTGAGCTGATAGCGCCGTGGACAAGGAAGCGATTTGTGCAGCCAGGTAGAAATAAATGGTTTAAATCAGTGTTTCCCAAACCTGGTCCTCGAGTACCCTCAAGAGTACACATTTTTGTTGTAGCCCTGGACAAAACACACCTCATTCAGCTCATTGAGGGCTTGATGATTAGTTGACAAGTTGAATTAGGTGTGCTTGTCCAGGGTTACAATAGAAATGTGTACTGTTGGAGGTACTTGAGGACCAGGGTTGGGAAACACTGGTTTAAACCATGACAGAGGTGTGGGTGTTCGTTACCACAACATTTTAAACAAATAGGAGAATGGTTAAATAAGCATTATTTAGAGACCCCCCCCCCCCCCCCCAAAGTTTGACTTTTGTTGCATTTAGGGGAGCTAATGTCTCATTCATAGGAGCTGAGCCCCCCCTCGCTCCCCCCTAATTTGCACCCTGATCAGTCCTTGCATCCTTTGTCTCGGTCTATGAATTTGAGTGGTTACATTTCTCCAGCTCCATTCCTTAGCTTTTTACTAAAACAGTGGCAGGGTTCCTGCTTTGTTATTGCTTTTGTTACCCTTTAATGCCTTTTCAGTGTCAGTGATGGCTAGTGAGTAATGTAACAATGAAGGCACTTTTTACTACCTTCATTACTGCAATAGATAACATGGAAAAATATGAAAGATCTCACATTACCCACATCCTTTTTCCAAAACTATAGTTACTTAATATTGCATTTTCATCTAAACCTTTATTGATACAGGTTCGTTTTATTGACATAAAATCTATTTTACAAGAGAGAATATGGTCACTTCAGACATTTTTATTTCTAAAGCGTCAACACACATTCACGTTAGGTGTCTCCATGCGGGAATCAAACCCACAACCCTTGAAGTTGCCATGGATTCAGTCAGACACAGAGGCTAGTCACTTAAGGTATTTTAATGGAGACACTGGTTAAACTTACCCGGTGATGAATGAGTTAACATTAATTACACAGTTCCGGGCTCATAGTCCGGACTTAGAAAATAAAAAAACGAGGAAGTATATCAATATGCAGCTGTTGTAAAACTAAGGTATATTATTTACATTCCCCACAAAAAAATACAGTGGCAGCGTTTTTAGGAGGGTGGGAGTGAATACTGAAGGCCTGAATACGGCCATGTTTGAACTTTGATCTTATGTGTCCCGGGAATGGCCGACCGCATCTGAACCAGTCCGGGTGGGTGGGACCAGATAGAAGGGGGCATTTCAGTAATATCCGAGAAGAGAACTGTTTAAAAAAAAATTGTAACAAAAGGAAAAACAACTAAATATTCAGATACACCAGGAAGGAAAATCTTCCTTATTTCTCTGAAGTCTCTTTTTTTGTAGTGAATGACTCAAAGTCCCATGATACTTTGCAACAGTCCCCCATTATGAAGCGGGGGTATACCAAAGTGTGTCGCCTTCAATGCCCTCTTCTCAGGGTTGGGTGACCCCGTACAGATAACTTGGTAACCCACACGGATAAACGCTGATGAACAACGGGTTCAAATCATAGAATGAGAGTGTGTGTGTGCAAGTGTGTAGAGGCTGGCTTAGTAAGGAGAGAGAGCGCAATCGACTGCCAAAATCAACAGTATTTGACAATGATAACGATAATACCGTAACTTGTTGTGCAATTAGCTAGGCTATCCAACCACTCATATCTGGCAGCCATATTCTCTTGGCAAGAGGAAGGGGTCCGTTTTTATGTTCTTCCTCCACTCCTCTCCCTCCCTTGTATGAGAGTTTAAACTCCCAATGGGGAGGCATCTTCCAGAGCAGGGCTCTCCAAC